GAACCAATCAGAGCGGCCCGAACCCAACACTGTGCTGCTGATGCACTCAGGTGCCCTGAACGTAGCCTCTCAGGCTCGGGCTACTAACATGCTGTGGCCCCCCTGCTGTCTCCCCTAACGACGAGTTATATTTAGGTTTTGTGTTAGGGAAGGTTAATGTTAAGGTTAGTGTCGTAGTTGGGGGTTTTAACATCGTTTTTTATAAATATTCAACACAGGCAAACAGAAGGCGCTCGCTACCCGAGAGACAAACTAAAGGCAATGAAACCTCAGTACAAAAGTGGGCTTGCCTGTGATATGTTTACGTAGTTAGCGTTGACAGGCAGCTCTGTTGGTGTGCGTCAGGCCTACTAGTTACCTGTAGTTAGTTAGCCGCGCCAGTGACCACCGACGACAGTGGACAGCAAAGTAAGAAACTCTAAACGAGTAAGTTTTAATTCTTCATTGAACTTAAATTGCGATAACGTGTGCCTGTGTTCCTGCTCTCTGTGGGGGGGCTGGGCTTTGTTCAACAAGTTAGCAACTTTACCAGCTGTTAACCGTGGACCTACCAAACTCAAGCACGCTAGCAATGATAGCTATCCGATATTGAACCACTTGGAGAAATCCTTCCTCTTGGACTACTTAGCTAACATCGTACGGTAAATTATCAGACTTTTTAATATCTTTGACAGTAGATCTGCTTGCTAGTTTACATAACCTGCTTACTTGTAACAGTAAGTTAATACGCTTGCGGCCAGGGAACAAATAACAGGATGTGCTAGCCTGGGTGATGGTTGTTCATTATTATGGTTTTTGTGCTGAGAAATCACTGGAGTCAGTGCTGGCACGCCCGAATAGGCTCAGATCCACAAAGGTTGATGCAGCAGAAATAGCTGGACTGATGGACACTGCTGCCTTCAGTATTTTTTCATGTGCTATATCTGTGAGTGCCACAGTTTGTAGTTTACACTGGGACAGACACAGAACAAACTGTAGGGGAGTATTCTCTGGGTAGTAAATAAACAGAGTTGGGTCATTTAAGCTTGTATTTACAAGCAGCGTTACATTGAAAAGGTTTTACTGTAAACTCTTTTTCCTGTCGAATAGATCTGTGGGCCGGTAATGCATTGAGGCGACAATGGAGACCACAGACAGTGCCACTGAGGGCGACCCTCTGAAGAGGGGAGAGGACGGGGCCGAGACAGGAACTGCACCATCAGCTACAGAGCTGAGGAAGAAGAGTTGTAAGGCATTGGGTTTTGCCAAGCTGACCCACTGGCGAACTGCAGTGTTCTTCCTCTCCTTGTTCCTGTGCCTCACCATAGTGTTTGCCTTCTCCTTCATAATCCCCTGTCCTGTCAGACCACAGTATCTCGTTTCCTGGAACAGGACTTTCTCTGAAGCAGGTGTGTACATTTGGGTGCTTTTCACTGTTTGCTATTGTTTAAAATGCAAATGTTTAACTATTATTGTCTACTTCTCCACCACAGCAACCTATGACTTCTTAGCTATTGAAGAAGCAAGCAAGGACAAGGTGATGGATGTCCTGTTTGTCCTCAAAAACACAGAAGGCAGTCAGAACAATACATGTGCTGGTGCAGGTATAAAGTGTTCTTCTTGATTTGATTTGAATTTAATCTTTTGAGGGAACAAGCTGTCTATGTGGTGGGCTCTAAATCATGTTTTTGTGCATTTTTCTCCCGCTGTTTTTTCCAGGTCTGCCCTCGCCATGTGTGTTTGTGTTAGCAGTGGATGGGACAGATGGAGAGACCCTGTGGGAGCGTCCGCTGGATCCTGAGTTCCACTGGGCCCAGTGTGGTCTGGACAAAGATACAAGCAGAACCTGGGACTGTCTGCTGTCCCATTCTAACCAACTCACAGCCGTTGACAAATACACTGGTTAGTGACTCACATTTTAATAATGTATATAAATCTATGCAGTCATAGCATCAAAACTAACTCGGAAGTTTCCTACACTGAAAACAAGTCATTCCTGTTTTCTTTTTTTAATATATTCATTATTCTTAAGACAGACAGACAAACAAATCTTTTCAGCCCCTATGTGTAGATTTGTTGGGTGATCATAGCACCTTACAGATAGTTCTGATGCTATGTGTTTTTGCGAAAATGAGTCTATATATTGCTTGCAGTCCATTTATTGTCCCCAGGTTGGATTTGTTTAACAACTAAAGCATTGTTAACATTAAAGAAATACGTTTTAGTAGGAAGGAAATTTTATTTTGCACAAAATTGAGGAAAATCTATTTACTGATGATCCCTGAGATGCAAAAGCCTTAAGTTAAGATTATTTTGTCACTATTCCCAAGTTCAAGAATGAACTTTTGGTTATAAAATCATATAAACTCAGTCAGACTAAGAGTTCCTGTGTGTGTGTGTGTGTGTGTGTGTGTGTGTGTGTGTGTGTGTGTGTGTACAGGTGACGTCAGGTGGCAGCAGCCTCATCCTCCTGGTCTGCACAGCACTGTGCCTGTTCTTAGTGTCCCAGATCTGGACGGGGACAAGGTCAGTGATGTGGCTCTGGTGGCATCTGACAACTTACAGGTAAACCTCAGTAATGTCATTTATTAGTGCTGCATTTATTTCCTTGCTTGGCTCATTTCTTACAGTGTAGGGATGGAGTCATGCTGTATTTTGTATTCTCAAATATGAGTCAGTCAGGCAGTGAAATAATCTGTTAACATGCTGCAGAATAGATTTTACCCAATTTCAATGTCTCTCGTCATATCTGCAGACTCAGCTGGTATTCCTCTCAGGGAAGACGGGTGTCCAGATTGGTTCTACGGTTGTTCTTAACACCACAGAGACAGCCAGTCATCTTCTCCATTGCACTACAGAGGGTTCTCACTACATACTGCTACAAAAAGGTTTGTTTCTGCAATCGGCTATGACAGTCACGATAGGCTACAGCCCATCTGTACTCAAACCAGTTAAGTATTTCCTAACGGAGGACTGCTGCACTGTATTCAAGTAATTAAGAAGTGTCAGACATTTGAAGTAGGTCAGCTGCTCTGTAGGACTGGAGGAGAAAATAACCCAAGGTTAAAACAGCCTTTATTAGTATGTATCTGGAAACCAATGGGATTTAACTTAAAACTGTCCTCGGGGTGTGTGCTATTTTTGTCAGGAGTAGTGCTATTGTAGAAAATGGTGGCACTTGAGCAGAGAGTAGAGAGGTTGTCATGGGGGAATATCACAGTGTTGTGCTGAAGCTTAATATTCAGTAAAAGTTGCATCATGCAATATATACATACAAGTACCATTTATTCTCATCGGAGTGTTTGACATTTTTATTTTATAAAATGACGAATAAATAAAAGAACAACTGTTGTACTGTAGCAGTAGTGAGTAATCTTGTGCTCATTCACAGACACTGGCTTGTATGGACTGGCACTGTGGAGGATTGCTGCCAAGGCAGGGATTGAGGTGGGCCTCAAGAAGGATAAACACTGGGAGAAGAACGCCAGCGCAACATCTGGCCTCATACCCATCTACGAGTAAGAAGCAGCCTACACTAACTTGTTGATTATCACCTCACCAGCACAGGTTTCACTTAACAGCGTATTGTCATTAAGACTTTTTGCTAACATTTATTCCTGTGTTGTAGATCTGACTCGGTGAGGCAAGTGCTCAGAGCGGGGGAAACCGATGATTCACCCAACCTGCTGCTTGTGACTGGGAAGGAGGTCGCATTAGTCAACGGAAAAAATCTGCAGCTACTGTGGAGATTCAATTCCAGCTCAGTCCTCAGGTTGTTGTTTTTATTTATTTTTTTCTCTTTTATATTGCATCAATTATTTAGAACTAAAAAGATTAGTTGATGGATCGATCAGCAGAAAAGCAATTAGCAACCATTATGATTATTGATTGATCCTTTTAAGGTCCCATGTGTAACATAAAGAGGATCTATTGGCAGAAATAAAATATAATATTCATTGTATGTTTACATTTAGTGTATAATCACCTGAAACTAAAGATTTTTTATTTTAATCAATCTTCAGTGGAGTTTGCCATGTTGAACCACCATGTTTCTACAGCTGCCCAGAGGGGACAAATCAAACACTGGCTCCAGAAATGGCCTTTTGTGTTCTGAGTTTCACTGCCGCTGTAGTTTCTTTTACACACTTGGTTGAGCAGTTTCCGTTGGTTGCAATCTTTAACTTCACCGCGAGATGCCACTTAACCTTACACACTGGTCCTTTTTAAGTTGTTTTTTAGGCAAAACCTGAGATCGTTGGTTGGACAACACAAGCAATCTGAATATGTCAGCTCGGGCATTTTACACTTTTTTCTTACATTTCATAGACAGAACGGTTGATGGTTGATTTAATTGAGAAAATAGTCAGCAGATGAATCAATAATGACATTGATAGCTATTCATTTCAACAACATCCATTTTTTTTCCTGACACATCGAATGTTTGCCAGTAATTATAAATGACATCCAACACTACTGGAGAAACAGCACACCACAATGTTTGGCAATATCGTTTCTGGCTGGGAATCAAATTGTTATGATGGGTTTGTATTGATCAGCAACCTTATAAACCCTTATAGATACATTATGGTCCTCTTTGTTTAGGGAGAGCATTATCAAATGAAACCATATAACCTGGTATTATAACCAGGCTGGTTGAGTCTAACAGTCTTCTCCTCTGTGTTGTCATTCATTCAGAGAGCCTTCCTTTGGTCACTTCAACAAAGACGATGTGCTTGAGGTTGTGGTTGAGGAGGATATTGGCAACTACACAAAGAGGGTAAGTTGGGTCTAAAACATACAAACA